CTCTTAATAACTAGAGCTCACCAAGGAGGTGGGTGAGATTTAGGAAGTATATTGCCCTGTTAATGTGCTCAGGCCTGAGGAGGAAAGGTGCCTGAATTTGGACTGTGGTGTCCATCACTTCAGACTCCGCTGCTGACTGAGGAGTCCTTCCTGCTTGTCCATCACTGTTCTGTTAAGTGGTGGTGGACCCACTGGGACAACTGTGGTAGCTCATTCCATTGGTTCATCCTGGACCATGCTGGCCTCGTCTCAGGAAAACCGGAAAAAGCATGAGGAAGGAGGCTCATCCTAGCTGTGCGCCCACTTGCCCCCTCATGGCGGGCAGCTCTGGGTTGACTGGTGTATCCCTTCACTCATTTCTGCACGTATACTTTCATATCTTCATTCTAAGCACCTTGTCCATGAGGGAAAGTGGTGCAAGGTCAACCTCAGGAATGCACGATGCTATCGTCACATAATTGCACCCACACTATGCAAAGAAGGTTGCACTCATGACTGGTCTGGGATTTCTTCATGCAGAAATGCACAAGATATGTGTTTTTGCACAATTAGCAAAAGTAAAATGTTTCACCTGCAGCTACTTGAGCTCTCCATCTCTTCTCACTTTCCCATGGTCCCATCCGCTTTCCTGTGGGGAGACACTGAGGTGGCTATAATCACTTTGGAGAACTGATCCAAGGTGGTTAATTGAAAGATCCATTTAACTCTGATTTGGCAGGAGGCAGCTTCGGAGGGCTGATACCGCTGTGCACACAGTAGAGTTACAGGTGGCCCTGGGGGTGTGACATGAATATGTGGGGCAGGGGGCATGTCAAAACATTACTGTGGTTCATGTCACCCTGCTCTGGAGCAGGACAGGGAGGACAATATTGTAAGATAGGAAATGAGTGGAGCAGAAGCTCATCCATGGAAAATTTTTGAATATCTTCCAAATCTACAAATCTTCCAAGTCTTGAAGAGACTCAAGATAATATAGGACAATCCTAGAATTTGCATGATTGGGAAAATAATGGGTTTTAAGATGAGACTAGTCTAAACTAAAATATTTCCAAAACAAACAAAAACATATGTTTCCATGAGCCACACCAGAGAGTAAAACAAATTATTTTTTTTTACTCTTTATAGGAAATTGCATTACAAACTTACTTGTGTGGAAGAGATCATCGGAGCAAGCATTGAAGAAGGCAGACAATATGGGGAAGCAGGAATATTATGGGAGTGTGTCCAGTAATCAGTTAATAAGAGTATTTGTGCTATTTTTAAAATTTTGTGGCAATTGCAATGTTGATTGAGCTTTTAAATTTTTATACTTTGCTGTGATTTTTTTTAAATATGAATGTTGTTTCATGCCTAATGTTATATTTCTCATGTTATCATGTTTATTCATAGAGAACATCACTTTCCAATAAGTAATTGCATAAGTTTCAGTCCCAGTAAGACCTGGGTTTGCCGTGCCTGTGACTGATAGCTCTCTGGGTCGGCTGTGCTCAACAGAGAACCGATTGATTGGCAGGGAGCGTCAGAGGAGGCTGGTGGCTGTCACCCGGGCCATGTGGTTGGCAGGGTCTGTGAAGCCCAGTGGGGGCTTCTCCTTCCTCAGGTCTCAGGGAGGCATTCATCTTCTCTCGCTGTTCAGAAGGAAGAACCACCTCTGCTTCAGCTGTCTCCAGAGGCTGGTGTGGCCATTTGAGAGAAGCAGCAACTGCCTGCCCAAGGGCCCCAGGTCACCTCCAACAGGGACAGCTTCCAGAGAGGAGCCTGATCATGATCCGCTTCTTGTTTAGAGCTCTGCTCCGTCCCTGACGGCAGGGAAGGCCCCGAGCCTGGAGCCGTGTGTGGACAGAATGGAGACTCAATGCTTGCAGAATGTGGGAGTCATGTTGTCAAACCCTGTGACACTTCACTGTGACATTGCTGGGGTAGGCCATGTGGCCAGCCTGTGCAGGAAAAGTCATTCAAAGCCATAATTCAGAGTGACATCTCACAAATAATGCTTACATTCAGTTTTTTAAAAAATAAGAGACTGGTGACTTACAAAGTCCTGTCCATTCTGTCTTCATGTTTATCTGCCACCTCTGTCTGATCTAGCTCACCATACTGATGTGTGCAAGTACATATAATATGCACACATGTGCACATACAGACTCACACACTGGAGTGTCCATGCACATACCCACACATACATACTGCCATGGTTAGGATCTTGAATGTCCCCCAGAGGCTCATGTGTTGAAGGTGTGGTCCCCAATGCATCCACGTTTTAGGTGGGGCTTCTGGGAAGTGATTGGCTCCTGAGGGCTCTGACCTCACCAGTGGGTTAACGATCTGATGGCATTATTGAGAGGAAAACATTGTAAACTGTTGAAGGTGGGACCTAGCTGAAGGAGCAGGTCCTTGGCAGCATGCCCTTGGGGACAGTGTCTTGTTTCTGGTCCCTTATTTTCCTTCTCTGCTCCTGGCTGCCATGAGTGGAGAGCTTCTGCCATGATGGTCAGCTCAGACAGAGTCATGGAGCTGCCAGCTTTGAACTAAATCCTCTGAATCTGTGGCCCAAATCAATATTTCTTCCTCTTAAGTTGCTTCTGTCTGGTGTTTTGGCCACAATAATAGAGTGCTAACACACGTGTCCATGTCTGTGTCCACATCCAGAGCCATCCCTTTGCCCGTTCCAGCTGAGGTTGACTGTCACCTCCAAACTCACAGTGCAGTGGGTGTGTGGGCTCATGGTGACCCTCTTCTGTGTCATGCGGACCCATCAAGATGTTTGTATCTGGATCTATTGGACATCCAATGAATAGGACTGGGAGGCAAAGGAAGGAGCAGGTGACCATTTCATTAGTAAGAATTAAGGGTGTGTTAGGGATGTGCTTGTGGAGAGGTGTTGGTCAACACTCCCATTGTTTGAAAACATGGATTTGCTAAATTCAAAGACAAGCTGGCCAAGAACTTCAGCTTGGAGCTCTCTGTGGCCACTGTCGCTTATCGTAAGCTTGGCTGACGAAGTCGGTCAGATGTGAGACATGGGGTAGGAACTCCTTAGGTTATTTCATGAGTATGACTGACCATTGTACCTTAATAGAGTCAAATTTCTGATAAATGGGTTTATTAATAACTTCCATAAAAACAAATGAGTTTAATCGCTTCAACTTAGGAACTGGTAATTTGAGGAAGTAAGATCTCACACATCTGCACTAATTTATTTATGCTCTATGAATTAAGAGCAAAAAGCAACTAACCTGATAATCCCTTGGCAGACTAATAAATGAGAAACAGATTTTTTTAAATGGGAAATTGATATAATTAGAAAGCTATTAACTTTTTCCCCTACTCCAGCATCATGGAATAAGTGAGCCACAGGGGACCTATCTTCAAAATAATTAAATTCCAAAGATGTTTTCTGGTTTAAGAACTATCTGATTTTTCTAAGTTGTAGTTTCGAACAGTGTGTATTTGGAGATCTCTGAGTGTGTGTGTGTTTGTGTGTGTGTGTGTGTTTGTGTGTTTTTGCCCCTCTGTGTTTAGGGAGCTCCAGCATTGTGCAGCCAGGTCCAGGTACGTGCTGAGCCTGGTGCTACTGCTGTGTGGGGTATCAGGTCTGCCAACCACAGTGGGGTAGCCAGTGGCCACCACCTTCAACAGTGGGGAAACTGAGGCACCCAGAGTTGAGGCTGACTATAGGTTCAGGGTGTGAAACCATGCTCTTAGATTCTTTAGTCTTCTGCTCTGATGGATAAAGACCTAATAAATGGTGAGCATACTGAAAGGGAGAATTGGATTAAATCTCTGGCAGCACAAGCCATGCCTGTTGAGGGAGATTCATCCTTGATTGAATCTCATGTCACCCACTGAGAAAGCTGGCTTGAGCACCAACTGAGTTCTGGGTGGCTTCTTCTCAAAGCTCATTTTTGGAAAAGCTTCTTATGTGCCTTACCTTGCTCAGCTCAAAGAACATCTCTGCAAGAGGACTGGTGGCCCCGGCAGAGGAGGCCAGGTAGTATGCGCTCCAAGCTGAAGGCTTATGTCTCCGTAAATGTATAAATCCATTACAGTATTACTATGAGGTTCTGTTTAGATTCTTATTGTCTACAGCAGGAGACCAGTGAGACTGAACCCACTGACTCTATCATGGCCATTACAGCAATCCAAATATGTCCACAAACCCTGCCAGGTGATGCTGTCTTATTGTGATGGCATATGTCTCAGGTGATGGTGAAAGGGAGCCAATGATAAGGTTTTAACAATAAAAAAAATACAGACAGAAAGATGAAAGATAGGGAGAGAGAGAGGGAGGGAGG